TACTAGCTATGTACTTTGGCAGTGGTAACATAAAATACTAATACTATTTTTGTGTTTTTGTAGGCAATGGTTCTTGCAACCATTGCAGAACATTCGCCCCCCTTATCTGCAGCTCCTGTCATTGTTGAGCTTGCCCAAACACTGGCTCTAGATAAACCAGCACTGGGGGTCATGAAGTTATCCCGGACTGCTGCCTCATACAAGATAGTCCAGGGCCTGGGGCACACCTTCTCAGAATGGACGTTTGAGAGCACCAGGACAAGCCTGTTCTCTGTCAACTTAGATGAGAGCACATCTAACTCAAATAAGAAAGTGCTTTCAAATCTAGTGAGCTACTTCAGTCAAGAGCTTAAGCATGTGGTGGTGGAACACCTTGGCTCCATTGAGGTTCTCAAGGGGAATACTGAACATTTGGAAACTGCCCTAGTGACCTTTTTCACTGAACACAAAATCCCATTTGGCAACATGGTCAGCATGATGATGGACTCCTGTACTGTAATGCGAGGGAGCAAGTCTGGGCTGGAGAGCCGAATAAGAGAAAAGTACTGCAAGAACCTCCTGGATGTTGATGGAGATGCTTGCCACCACATCCACAATGCTGCAAAACAGTTTGGTGTGCCCTTTGGCCAGCACCTCGAGCAGCTCATCACTGACCTCCATACAGACCACAAGTGGGCTTCAGACCAGGTAATTTTCATAGATATTGTGAAATATATGCACCAGAAATGTACTCATGGCATAATGGCAAATAGGCTTAAAGAGTAACCTACTTTTTGCCCATTTCAGGTGAATTACCTGATAGAGATCTGTGAGTTTATGGGCATTCCAGGAACCAACCTACAGAGGTTTGTGGCACATCTGTGGCTTTCGGCATATGATGTGGGCATTAGTACTCACCTTCGGATTCCTCAGTCAGGCAGACCAGACCCTGTACAAAGAAGTCCTGGAGGAGATCTACAAGGACCACAGTGTTGGTGAGCGGGCAAAGGCCAGGATCAAGTACTTCCACCAGGACCTCAGGCAAAAAGGTACAGTTGTTGAAATGGATCTAATATTGTTATAACTAATTTATATGGGGCCCCTTCAAACTTAAGTTGGGAAGGGAAGGAAAGAAAAGAGAGGCTAGTTAAGAAGCTCTGGTTTGACAGTCATTCTACAAACCTCCATCTCAGTGTTTACCTCTGCGTTCTTCCCATCCTCAAGGAGTATGTGATGGTGTTCCAGGTGTGTTTTCGCATTGGGTGGATTATCAATCTCTGATAAATGAATTAGGCCTATTCTTGTATGGCCTCATCAGTTAAATTATCATATAAACAGACCCTTAACTGCAAGTCAAGTGTGTGTAATTAAATTATTGTAGTATTTTCGAATAACATGCCATATTTATTCATAGGGCGGCCAAACCCTTGTTCACAAGCTGCATGACAAACAGTTCGAAGTGGTCACCAATTTCCTGGCGTGCTTTGTCAAGGCTGAGCATCTTAAGACCACACCAAAGAAGCTCATGGAGAAGGATTTCAGGGCCAAAATACTGCCACTCCACAAGCTCTATATCGGGCCAGTGGCTGAAAAAAACGAAGGCAGAAAATCCACATCATCCAGTGAGTAAATTCACTGAAAATGCCAAATCAAACATTTCCCAAATTATTTAATTTATAATAAATTTTCATAATGTTTTCTAGAGTGTGCTGCAGTTTTTAGAAACCGTGAAGACTGCATACCGTACCACAGCTGCCTATATGCAAAAGAAGCTGCCACTGAACAGCAAGACTCTGCAGTCTCGGTCTGCTTTGGACCCACTGGTGAGGGACCACTCAGTAACTGGAATTCTTCTGAAGTGGTTGGGAGGTATGATGGGCCCCTTGGTGCCACCCCATTATGACGTGCCTCTGGAAGTGGTTAAATTCAATGTCGATTGCACTCTTCCCATGTGCAATGACGGTGACGACATGGCGACCTGGTGGGCGAAAGTGTTTGACACCGGTCGGTACCCAGGCTTAAACCACGTGGTTTGAGGATGTCTGTCCATTTTCCACGGGCCCATGGTGGAGTCGTCTTTCAGCGCCATTGGGAGACATCATTGATAATAAAAGCACTTCAATGACCATGGCAACCTTCAACTCCATCCAGACTACAGAGTACGCCCTCAGGTCCAGGGGTCAGACGGCCATCCAGTTGTTTAAGAGGGAGGATGTGAAGCTTGATAAGGTTGACAAGGTCCTCTGCAGGAATATCCGTACTGCAGGAACGAAGGAAAAGGCTCGAAGGCAACCGGCCCTTCTGAAGAAAAAAGAGAGGCTGGAAGTGTTTGGTTGCTGGTCAACAACTAGTGCAGAGCAGAAAGACTGCAGTAGAAGAAGTGCAAGCCAAACTGAGGCACATGGCTCAAAAGAGGAAGGCGGCAGTTTAGTCTGTCACCTTTTTCACCCCTAACGAGTTTGCACCCCTGATATATCGTATATCCTTGTTTCGGCTTCTCCTTTTGAATGATTAACCTAGACTATTTATACCTGCTGATATAGACTGTAATCGGCTGTAATCTCTGCTGTGTGTTCAAGCACAGTTTTATTGGTCCAGATATAGCCAACGTGAGGTGACAACACCATCGGCTTTCGTCGCCACTATTTCTTTGAAACTGGCTTGGTGTGTCCCGGCCTTTAGGAAGTAAGCCCCGTTCACACCAAGGACGATAACTATAAAGATAACAATAAAGATATAATTCTAAAAATAGTTCTCAATAGAACATTAAAGGCACAGAGAAACAATAGGGAATCACTTTCAGAATTTTTTTTTCCCAGCTGATGAAAAATACAAACACTGATACCCATTCAGAAACAATCCTGCTATATTGAGCTCGAGAATTTAAAGCGGCAGACAAGCGTGTGCTAAACTGACGATATCATTCGCTGGTGTGGACGCTAATATCGTTATCTTTATAGTTATCGTTCTTGGTGTGAACAGGGCTTTAGTCCTGTCCTTTTTCAGTCTTGGTACCAGGGGTCTTCTTCTTGCCTTTTAAAAGGTGTCTGCAATTGACCTAGCATCCTTTCATTTAATGTTCATTCATTTTTCATTTAAGCTTATCGTAATTCATTTCTGTACTCTTAGACAAGAAATTGAAAACATGTTTACCTGGGCATTCTTTAACTAAAAATTAATCAAATAATGCAATATAATTTTTTTATAGTTTTCTTTTATTCATAACTTTCCATTTACAATGTGGCATTTAACAGATGATGGAAGTTTATTCATCTAATACAGGGATGGGCAACTTCGGTCTTGGAGGGCCACTGTCCAGCAGAGTTTAGCCCCAACTCTAATCAAACACACCTGCCTGTAGCTTTCTAGTGATCTTGAAGTCAATCAAGTCAAGTCACCTTTATTTATACATGCTTTTAGCAATACATATTGTGTCAAAGCAGCTTTACAGTATTAAATAGTGTGTCAATAATGCAAAGTGACAATAGTAAACACTAATTTTTCAGTTAAAGGCAGTTCATCATTTAATTCAGTGATGTCCTCATCCAGCTCAGTTCAGTTTAAATAGTATCTGTGCAATCAAGTGGACGATATCACGGGAAATTAAGTGTCCCCAACTAAGCAAGCCAGAGGCGACAGCAGCAAGGAACCAAAACTCCATCGATGACAGAATGGAGAAAAAAGACATTGATTAGCTTGTTCAGGTATGCTTGATTTGGGTTGGCGCTAAACTCTGCAGGACAGTGACCTTTATAATGAAACAGCCAAGCAAACAAAGCTGCATAAATGTTATAGTAAATAAATGTGCAGTTTTTAATTTATTTGTTAATTTTTGTTTACATGATTCCCAATTATTTTTATTCACAATTTCTAGTATTTGTACAGGCTTTAAATTTTTTTTATTTTAATGCAGTAATTAACAATTCTTTGATTTGTTACGTGACAGCATTAATTAAAATTTCTTAAGGGTCAAGATCACGTTATCTGCATCTTGCTCCATCAAGCCACTCCCATAATAGCGGTCACCACTCAAATTAATGCACGGCTCAGATTAACTGTACAGCATGTGTAAGACTCCAATACAATTATAAAGTAATTATTTCATCACAAATAAATATTTCAATGATTAAAACTGGCCGAGTCGATAGTATTATTGACTACACAACATTAATATATTTTTTCAAATTATTTTTTATTATTTTAAATTACCCAGTAGGGTACACTTGTAATAAAGTAGCGGTGGCTGGGACAGATTTTAAGTATCAATTCTGCTTAAAAAGATGCAATATAATCCTGTTTATATGAAATAAGCACGATTAATTTTACGGACCTGTTGCTATAACAGCAACTCCGGGATGGGACAGATTTTAAGTATCAATTCTGCTTAAAAAGATGCAATATAATCCTGTTTATATGAAATAAGCAGGATTAATTTTACGGACCTGTTGCTATAACAGCAACTCCGGGATGTGCTGAAAAAAAGTGGAAGCAGCGAAAGAGGAAGGGATACGAGCTTGAGGTAAGCAGTTGTATGTTTTAGAGCCATTTCATGCAGCATTTTTATTGGTTGGTCAGTAAACGTGGTTTGTAGCTGCAAACACACTGTGCGATGATCATGCTGTATCGTAGACTGTCTTTGGTCACAAGACCGTAACAACGGCCGGAACTGTACGACGCGGGACCCCCGATTATGAGCCACGATCACAGAAATCACCACGATTGTTTCACGATGCTATTCTTTCGTCTGGGACAGCCAAAAATCCTGCAGTGTGTTTCGGGCTTTAGCAATGTAGGAAGAACGGGCCTCAGGACCAAAGTTGCCCATCCCTGATCTACTATTTGTTTGAGGTATTAAACCGAATCAAAAATAAACCAAACCACATTCCTGGATCCCCCAACTCGACACATTTTGCATGTCTTTGAATGTAATGAGTTGAATCAGGAGTTTGATTAAGGAGACATGCAAATGTGCTCCAGGAATGTGGTTGGGAACCAATGCTCTGTACAATGAAAATGTTTTGTGCACATATACATATTTTCCGGTAGCATTTTAAATTGATTAACTGTTTAAAACCCTTTTGCACAAAGAACAAAAATAAAGTCTCAGATTATCTCTAAGTGTGATATTTTTTTTTTACACTACTCCTAATTAAATGCTCCAGAGGGAATGTGCAGGTGATTTCTGAAAATGTTCCACTTTGTAAACCTTACTACACTCAGAACACAGCGGTTTTATTTTCACATTTAATTTGCATATGACGTTTCAGGTCTTTTGGATACGTGAAACTCTTCTCACACTGAAGACACTTGTAAGGCTTCTCTCCAGTGTGAACTCTCATGTGAATGTGAAGGTTTCCTTTAACTGTAAAACCTTTTCCACACTCTTGGCAGGTGAAAGGCTTCTCTCCAGTGTGAACTTTGATGTGATTCTCAAGGTTTGATTTGCTTTTACAAGTCTTTGCACAGAAATAACACATGAAAGGCTTGTCCCCGATGTGAATTACTACATGCTTCTTAAGGAGATTACTATCTGTGAAACTCTTTCCACACTCATGACATGTTAAACTGTTCTCTCGTAAATGAATCCTCATGTGGTAATTAAGTGTTTCTTTACGTCCAAAACTCTTTCCACACTGGTCACAAACGAACGGCTTCTCACCAGTGTGAATTTTCATGTGAGTATTAAGATTGCCCTTTCGTGAGAAGCCATTGCCACACACTTTGCAACTGTAAGGGCTCTCTCCAGTGTGAATTCTCATGTGGGAATCAAGGGTTTCTTTACGTATGAAACTCTTTCCACAGTGTTCACACGTGAACGGCTGCTCTCCGGTGTGAATTCTCATGTGAGTCTTAAGATTTCCTTTATGTGAGAAGCTCTTCCCACACAACTTGCAGGTGAACGGAGTTTCTCCAGTGTGATCTCTCATGTGGGCATTAAGGGTTGCTTTATACTTGAAACATGTTCCACACTGAGCACACATGAATGGCTTCTCTTCATTGTGAATCTTCATATGATTCTTGTGGCTTACTTTATGAACAAAACGCTTTCCACAGTGATGGCATGAGTAAGGCTTCTCTCCAGAGTGAACTCTCATGTGAGTATTGAGGTTTTTTTTGAATCGGAAAATCCTTCCACATTGATGACATCTAAAATGGGTCTCTTCCGAGTGGACCCTCATGTGGGAATTAAGGATTTCCTTACATCTGAAACTCTTTCCACACTGACCACATACAAATGGCTTCTCTCCAGTGTGAATTGTCATGTGAATCTTAAGGCTTTCTTTTCGTGAGAAGCTCCTCCCACACAGTTTGCAGGTGAAAGGCTTCTCTCCAGTGTGAACTTTGATGTGATTCTCAAGGTTTGATTTGCTTTTACAAGTCTTTGCACAGAAATAACACATGAAAGGCTTGTCCCCGATGTGAATTACTACATGCTTCTTAAGGAGATTACTATCTGTGAAACTCTTTCCACACTCATGACATGTTAAACTGTTCTCTCGTAAATGAATCCTCATGTGGTAATTAAGTGTTTCTTTACGTCCAAAACTCTTTCCACACTGGTCACAAACGAACGGCTTCTCACCAGTGTGAATTTTCATGTGAGTATTAAGATTGCCCTTTCGTGAGAAGCCATTGCCACACACTTTGCAACTGTAAGGGCTCTCTCCAGTGTGAATTCTCATGTGGGAATCAAGGGTTTCTTTACGTATGAAACTCTTTCCACACTGTTCACACGTGAACGGCTGCTCTCCGGTGTGAATTCTCATGTGAGTCTTAAGATTTCCTTTATGTGAGAAGCTCTTCCCACACAACTTGCAGGTGAACGGAGTTTCTCCAGTGTGATCTCTCATGTGGGCATTAAGGGTTGCTTTATACTTGAAACATGTTCCACACTGAGCACACATGAATGGCTTCTCTTCATTGTGAATCTTCATGTGATTCTTGTGGCTTACTTTATGAACAAAACGCTTTCCACAGTGATGGCATGAGTAAGGCTTCTCTCCAGAGTGAACTCTCATGTGAGTATTGAGGTTTTTTTTGAATCGGAAAATCCTTCCACATTGATGACATCTAAAATGGGTCTCTTCCGAGTGGACCCTCATGTGGGAATTAAGGATTTCCTTACATCTGAAACTCTTTCCACACTGACCACATACAAATGGCTTCTCTCCAGTGTGAATTGTCATGTGAATCTTAAGGCTTTCTTTTCGTGAGAAGCTCCTCCCACACAGTTTGCAGGTGAAAGGCTTCTCTCCAGTGTGACTTCTAATGTGGACTTTAAGGTTTGCTTTTTGAGTGAAACGTTTTCCACATTGTGGGCAGATGAAAGAACATTTAGATTTGGTCATCTTAGTCTTTTTTCGTGAGGAAATCTTTTTAGTCTGTGTGGATTTTTCTCCAGTCATGGAATTATGTGTCTGGTCTTTCTCTTCCATTTCTTTCAGTTCTTCACTCTCCTCTTTAGGTGCCATCAGGTCTAAAGTGAAACAAGGCGTACACATTTTTTAGACATTGCATAGACCCAAAGCAACATATATGAAAACCATCATAAAACATCAAAATCAACATGAATGCTCAATCCTAAGAAGTCTTTCAGAACTTTAAGAACCTAGTGCTATTAGATCTTTTGACAGCAAAGATCACAACACCTGTCACCTATCCGATCGCTACCAACTTGTGTTAATTAAGAGTACGGAGTGCATCAGGGCTCCGTATTAGGTCCACTTATTAACATACATTTTTTAATGATATGGCAATGATTCTGAGTCTTATGTCTTATTAATTATAACCTTCACCTTCTTTCTGATTTGAGTGACCCACATAGCTATCAAGCCAGCTAATGATGTTTAACTGCAAAAAATGCAGTTATTTTATGGATTGTTGTAGGGCTGGGCGATAAATCGATAACAATAATTATCGTGATATAATTTTAAAATGATAAAACGATATGAACAGTTCGATAAAGTTTGTGCCAAAAGCGGAACGAAACTCGGATCCGCTCGGATCAAAGTTTAAACGGCAGCGCAGCACGAGCTCACTAGAGCAGATGAGTCTTGGTCACACGACACTAAACAGCGCTGTGAGATCCAGTGTGAAGTGCTTGAATTCAGCAAACAACACAGATGACTCGCTGATTTAAACTAGTTTAAAGCCAGATGAAACCACTGACAAACAGGAGAAATACTGTGCACAACGATACAGTCAGAAGGCTTTTCAATCTACAAATCGCCATCATTTACCATGGATTTACTGTAGTAACACTAACTGCACCGTGGTATTGTGGCAGAAATGTGGGATATCCATGTAAAATTTTACTATATTATTAATGTAGACATGAACTAAAGTGTATTAAAGGAGTAATTAAAGTACATTACAGGAGTAATTACAGTATTTTTTGTGATTAAGCTATAGCATGTGTGCAATTATACGGAATGTCTTTAGACTACTGTTTTTTAATACAAATACCTAAAAACCATACAGAATTGAGGAGCTATATCTGTGTGGTTTTAACTGTGATTATCATAATTTAAATGTATGCTACTATGGAAGACCAATGATTATTAAAAAAATGACAATAATTACATTTCACCATATAAAAATTAGGTTGCTACAATTTTTTACAGATGTTAGCCTACTGATTTTAATAATGAACACAATTTGCATCTGCATACTATCTCAAGCTACTACTACTACTACTACTACTACTATCAAATGTGCATTTCTAAGAGAAAATAAAAGTAATATTATTAGTAATATTATCAGGCAACACAAACCTGTTTCTTGATTTGAAACAATACCACTCATTAGAACATGTAGAAACTAAAAAAATAAAAAATAATTCTATTAAAGGGGTCATATGATGCCATTTCAAGTTTTCAAGCTGATTGTGCATAGATAAGATCCCTGAAGTTGCAAAGTACTATTACAATTATTATTATTATTTTTCTTTCTGTTAATACATATGTGTACTATTTGTGAGCAGTCCAGCTGCAATTGCTTTGGCAATACAAATTTATAATTTTTGTCATGCCAATAAAGCACTCTTAAATTGAAATTGAGTGCGAGAGAGGGAGAGCGCGAGAGAGCGAGACATCGTGTGTGTGTGTGTGTGTGTGTGAGAGAGAGAGAGAGAGAGAGAGGGGGAGGGTCACATCACAGTAGAGTCAGCGGTCTTAACCGTGGCTTGTGTACTGCACACATATTCATCACTGTGTCTGTCCCGCGGCTCTCTTCCCCTTTCGGGCTCTGTCTTTACATTTATTTTGAAAGCTGAAGCTGCGATTATGGTAAGGGGGGTTACATTTCCTACGAGTGCTTGCGGTGTTCGGCCAATCACAATGCACTGGGTCAGCTGGCCAATCAGAGCAGACTGCGCTTGTCGGAAGGAGGGACTTTGTAGAAAACGAAGCGTTTGAGAAAGGCGGGGCATAGAGGACCTACAATAATGTACAGTATTTGAAAAAGAATGTGTTTTTGAACATTAAAGCATTTCAACATATTCTGTTACACCAAATACACAAAATAATGATCTTTAAAAAAGCATCATATGACCCCTTTAAGATATTTAGTCTATCTTGTTAAGGAAAATTAACAGTCTGGTTTCAACAACTTTCACTTTGGAGAAAAATCTTGCTTTAAACTTGAAAGAGAAAAAAGATTTGACATTTATCTTGATAATTATCGATATTGACTGATATGAAATTTTTTTTTTGATAATTTTGGCCATATCGCCCAGCCCTAGGCTGTTGGCATTGATTATGCTCGTGATGAAGCGGTAGTGGAGAGCTCTCGGAGCGAGTGAAAACCACCATACTCCAACTTTCAAAAAATCTACTCCTCACTTTAGTCAAAAATCACGCTGCTGTGCTCTCACTCCCCTCACATACTCTACTAGAGATGCTCCATTTGCCAATTTCTTGGCCGATTCTGATTTCTGATTTTTTTGTAAGCGTGATCTGCCAATGTCGATTTCTGCTGATTCCTATTTTCTTTCTAAGAACTATAATTAACAGCAAATACAAACAAAAATGTACTTTTTTTTGTTCAATGCAAAAAAAATTATTTACATAGTAACATAAATTATTAAACATTACAATTCCCCCAATCTGGAAGGAGCTCTGAGTGACGGTGATGAGCCTGGATCTATCAAAAATAATTAACTTACCTACAAATTATGCTTTTAATATGATCCAAACTTTAAAAGTACATTAAAACAGAAACAATACAAAGTTATTTTGTATTGAAATGTTTGTAACTAAATCATGTTTAATTATAATTTCCCCAGATAATTGTTTTATATCAGGCTCTGTGCTCTGACAGGGCTGCAGACATGAGCATGACAGATAAATAATTAATTCCTACAACTTATTAATTTGTGATCACTATCCATGTTTCATTCATTTCTTCCCTAGAAAACCCATGATTTAACTAAAATGAGGGAACGAATTAAGTCATAGGAACGAATTCTTAATTCATGGCCACGATTAAGCAAAAGCTGCGATTATAATGCGTATCTTTCAGTGAAGTACTTTCTTGCGCGTAAACTCCAAATACGCCTCGCAGAAGAAACCCAGGAAATCCCTATAGCTGACTAATGAACACACGACTACGACAATATATGGTTTATCGGAGTTTGTCTTATTATGATTTTCATTATAATAAAGTATATAATAATGCAATGCTAATCGACATAGACTTTATTTATCACTGCTTAAATACTATAAAATATGTTGCGTGCCTCATTCGGTGTAAGAAGCCACATCATCTGACAGAAGGATTTATTTCAAACACTCGACTGACGTTATGAAGTGAGTTTGGAGTAAAAACATGTTATTAAATGTGGTATTTTCACATGCTTCAGATGGAGCAGCATTTACTTCACAGAGCCGTAGTTCACTGAGAAGCTACGCAAACAGCTGTCATTATCACAAGCGATTTCTTCGATTTCATAATCGTACGATTATATCTTCCACAATTTTTTTGCGTGGCTCTGTGTAGTAAATGCTGCTCCATCTGAAAGCAGATGCTGGAGATTTACTACTGATCACAGAACCGGCTTTACTGATGAGATATGCATGATGATCACATTTGACTAATCATGCAGCCCTACAAATGATCATAATCGCATCTATTCATTTTACAATCCTGATACTAGCCTTTTATTTAGACTAAAAAACGCCTTTAATTCAGGTGATGAAGCTGGCGTTTTGACATCCTGTCATGCTGGTGACTATATGCCACTGAAATGCATTTTGCAGTATTAAGGTTAATGATTAATCGATAAATTGATTGTTAATTTAAACAACAATCGATCATGGAAATTATTGAAAATGACATTCCTAGTACTGATAAAAATAATTTGTAGCACAATTGTTTTACTGCTTTGTTAAGTGGGTCACACATCAGACGTGAAGCGCTGCGGCCAATGAACTCAAGTGGCGCAAAAACACAAGTCTTTCTTTCCAAGGAAACTGAATTTAAAATCTGAATATATATATATATAAATTTAGTCATTTAGCAGACGCTTTTATCCAAAGTAACTTACAAATGAGGACAATGGAAGCAATCAAACTCAAACAAAACTGCAATTATACACAAATGCTATAACAAGTCTCAGTTAGCTTAACGTAGTACACGTAGCAAGGTTTTTTTTATTATATAATAAAAAGAAAACTGATAGAATAGAAAAAAATAGAGCAAGCTAGTGTTAGAGCTTGTGGTGTGTGTTGTACGACACTTTATAGAAGTTATTAACAAAACCTGCAGGAATACGCCCACGGGAGCATGTGACTTGTGCATGAAAAAAAGGAACCACACAGGGCGTGGCTAAGCCCCGCACCCACCATCTGATTGGACAACAACCTGTGGGCTGGACAAAAGTCAGCCTGCTTAAAAATGGACACCAAGTCTTATGCTCTTGCTCGCGCTCTCTCTCAAGACCTTTGGCTTTCACTTTGGTGAGCGCTACAAGCGCTCCCATGTCGTAACATCGCACAAGCGAGACTCCAGAACTCAAACACTTCAGTTGACACTTCGCGATCTTCAAAGAACGTAAAGCCTTACAAACAGAGACTTTTCAGCAGAACTGCTCAAGCCTCTACGTCATCAAGAAAGCAACCAATCCAACGAGGGATCTCCCAAAAGGGAAGTCATCCTGACGTCACCGCAGCAGCCATCCAGGAAGCCTGCTGTCAGCAACGGAATCCCCTCCAGTAGCCACGAGGAACGACTCAGCTTTTCAGCTGTCACCCAAAGCAAAACGCAAGTAAACTAACAAAATCTTCTATCTGCTGAACTGACGCTGATTATTGATTTAAGCAGTAGACTTAAGACAAAATATCTGCTTTGTGAATTCTCTCAGGCTGAATCTAAAACCACTTGTGAAAACGAGTTAGAACTTTGAAACTTCATGCAACTCCGTTAACTCATTCCTTCAATTTTCGGAGCTGTGTGTGCGTGCGTATGTGTGTTTTAGCTTAGTTTTGATGTAATCTAGAATAGCCAATAAAATTGATAAAGAATCATTGTCTGGTGTCTTATAATTTTAAAGTCAAACCCTTCCCAAAGATCACGTTACCTCTCTAAGAGCTTACAAATTATCAAAGAACGTATTAGCCCGTGGCCAAGGAAAATACATATAGTCAAATTGGTAATATACACTGACATTAACGTCTCGCTGGCCGAGTAGCTGATAGAGTGTAAACTATCAAATTTGAAATCAGTTTTAATCAGGTGGACCTCGAATTTTCAGATCCGAGTCCTTTTAAACTCTGAATGAATTAATAATAATTAATTCCCTAAAATTAAGTAATCAAGACATTACAGAAATGACTCTCAGAGCAGCTGGAGATGATATTCGTGTGTTCATATCGTCATATAGTGAGACGACAGAAGCTGAAAACACCGCGTGCGTCATTCGTGCTTTAGTAAACAAAACCGTGTGTGCGTGATGTCAAATGCAGATTTCGCAGATTTGTAGTATTACTAAAGCATTTCACCTGAGCATTGCAAATCGCGCATGTTGCATGTTGCTTTGTTCTTGGTTCTTGTCAACAGTATCTCCGCCATAAGCACTGAATGAATGACAGGCTTTCTGTTGTAACATCACACAAGGTAAATAAGAAGGTGACATCTAGTGGAGAAGATTAATGATAAGATTCACATTAATCAGATAATGGGCAATATCAAACACCTGGCGCAATGTGCCGCCAAGCGTGACGCAAGTGCTTTTTGCTAGTTTCAGCCCAACGCAGTTGTAATTTTCACGTCTTGCGCCATGTTGTATAAATAGCTAATGCATTTGTGAGCCCATGGGCGTGCTGGTCTGAAAACGAGATGTGTTCAGGCACATTGCTGGCACGTTGCTATTTTGAGGCAACTGAAATAGACTGCGCCATTGACCAACAAAAACCTGGTCTAAAGTCTGGTGCAATATTTATTCTATGTTATTTAAAGAGCGCGTTAGTAATATGCGCCTATAGGTGGGTGCACAACGCGCATACACTTTGCTTATTACACACACAGGGACGCGCAGCAGCACACAAACATTTTTAAAAATTAAAAATTAAATTCCGCCATGTAAATAACGAACCCGCCATGGCACGAGCACAACTGGCTTTTAAAGGGGATGGGAGATGAGACTCTGATTGGTTTATGGCACGTTATGCCCAAAACGCACCCATTACTCATTAAGAGAATAGGGACAACCCTTTTAGACCATTTAACCATCGTTAAACTAGTAAAAGTGGATTCAGACGCTCTGTGCAATTAATCGCATGCGATTGTCATGCGCATCTCGTCAGTAAAGCTGGTTCTGTGATTAGTAGTAAATCTCCATCACCTGCTTTCAGATGGAGTGGCATTTACCGTAGTTCACTGACAAGCTAGGCAATATGGCGTTCATAATCGAATGCGATTCATCTGCGATTATAAACGCGATATTGCCTAATTGTCAGTGAACTACGGCTGTGTGTAGTAAACGCCACTCCATCTGAAAGCAGGTGATGGAGATTTACTACTAATCACAGAACCAGCTTTACTGACGAGATGCGCATGACAATCGCATGCGATTAATTGCACAGCCCTAGCACCCCCTAATCGCAATTGCGCCGTGCGCTTTAGACCATGCGGTTAGATCGTTAAAATAGGGCCCCTTGTGTTAAATGTTTGCTGAAATAAATACCTGAAAAGATCGATTCACAGCTTTGGAGAATAAATATCGAATTTACGTAATTTACAAAAACGATTAATTGAAAAATATTTTTTTTATCCAGCCCTAATATATATAGATACATAATTTCTGGAGAAAATGTTCTGCAGACGTTGGATTAGATGAAGCTTTCTAGAGCACATGTCGACTGCCTGCGTTCGCACACGCTATCAAATGGAGTATACTTTGAAAGGCTGCATGTTTGACTGTACGCATATACTAGCATATGAATAAAAAACAAGCATACTTTGGGCTTGAGGCGATCCACTCCATGTCAACTAAAACTGCTTTAATTAGCCCACTTATATATATTCATTCTTTCAACATTCTTCAAAAACATCATTCATTTCTGTAGAGGTCGACATTTTAAGAAGGATAACATGACTAAGTTCAGTTTTGAGAATGGAAACCAACCTGTTTGTGTGTCAGTATCTTCTTGCTTCACACTGAAAGCTCCTTCAATCTTCATGTCTTCATTCTCCTCCTTAATAAACTCCATCTTTATAAAATTCACGTGGATCTCAGTCGCTTCACCAGGAATTTTTCTGTGTTTGGAAACAGTGTCATATTTAAGACGGGAATACATAGTCACATACTAACTATTCATGTTAAAGTAATACTGTTTATTAGGGATGCATCAATGTATCGGCCGCCGATATTTATTGACCGATTTTTGATTATTTTAAAGCCATCGGCATATCGGAATTAATTAACTGCATGGAGACAACGAGTTGCATGTCTGTTGCATAATTCAACGTTTTTCTCTGGGTAAAATAATTAAATATTTGCCAAAACAAAATAAATCTGTACAAAATATAGTTTGTCAGACAGCATAGTACGGCCTATGCAAATGTGACGCTGACGCATCCAACCAGTGAAACGCCCGCGCTCAGCTGTAAATCCATCATAGGTAACGGTAAGTCGCAATGGCAATGCCCCGGAGTTAGTTTTTCTGTAGATATGTCACGAACTGCCAATTAAGCATTAGGCCTACAATTAAGTGAAAATTAATGTCAGGTAATATGCAGTTTTTTATGTGTTTGAAACCAGCAAAAATGGCACGATCGTGTAGAACACGGATTCACACAAGTTCATATCACGCACCTGCAGCGTTTCTGTGAACAGAGAAAATGGAATAAAACTATATAGGCTACAAAAAAGGAAAATATGGGCCTATACACTAAATATATTTCACTTAAATCATTAACAGATTAACAACACAAAAAAACAATTGTGCCGAGTTTGGATCATTGTAACGCGCTCCGAAGTTCACGGAAAGGAAAGCGGTTTTCTTTATTTTGCAAAAGCTTTACAGTTTTGAATCGCGTCAGCGACTCACACACATACAACATATTTTTGCTAACTTGACATCGCAGCCTGTTCATTATCAAAATAAAATACAGTTAAAGGAGTCATATGATGCTGCTAAAAAGAACGTTATTTTGTGTATTTGGTGTAATGAAATGTGTTTATGTGGTTTAAGGTTAAAAAAACACATTATTTTCCACATACTGTACATTATTGTTGCCCCGTCTTTCTGAAACGCGTCGATTTTTACAAAGCTCATCGGTCTGAAAAGCGAGGTGTGCTGTGATTGGCCAGCTATCCAATGCGTTGTGATTGGCTGAATACCTCAAGCGTGTGACGGAAATGTTACGCCCCTCCCCATACTGTGATGCTGTGTCTGGCCGGAGCGAGGAGACAAAAACATTAAAACCCATTATAAACCAGGCATACGTTGCATCCAGTGGGGACTTAATTACTGATTATAATGACTTATACTGTCTTTTTACGTGTTGCGTTGCATCGCGCCGCAAATCTTCCCACATAGTGAGGTAGATATGTGGGGGCGTGTTAGAACGAGGCGTTTTAGGTAGGTGTGGTTGACTCTTAACTTTTATAAAGAATATCTCTTTGGCTTTGAGACTTTAGTCTTTGCAACTTTACAGATCTTCTTTATGCACCAAGAGCTCGTAACACTCCAAAGAGAAAGGAAATATTTAAATCGCATCATATGACCCCTTTAACCATACATAAAAAGCTACACTGCTCAATTTAAATAGTCCGTACTACAGTCTGTGCCGTTCAGCGTAACCACTGTGCTGTTATAGTCTATATGTAAAGGATGATGTTTTATGTCGAAAATGCGAGTGAAGAACAAAGCCTATAGTTTACAGAATGAGAGAGATAGGCTTCGATTTCGCTTTTAAATTAATTCATTTTGGCTTACAACTTTAGAGGATTTGTTGTGGAGAGAAGGGAACTAAAATAGCCAACTTGTGTTTGTAATGTTTGTAAATATTTAGCTTTATTTACCAGCGTTTTAGCCTACATTATTTCTGAATGATAATAATAAAATAATAATAATATATTAATCGTAAAATGCGACATACAGCCTACTAATATAGGCTGTTTTTTCCTCTCAAAATGCTTATAGGAGTAGCGTTTTTATCCATGCTGCAAACATTTTTAAACGTCTTGAAAAAATAGGCCTAAAGTGTCTGGGATTGTTTTGCAAAGAATTTAATATGAAAAGTGAAAAACTTTCCCTGGAAGTAAATTACCACACACACTGCATGGGTGAAATTACACCCTGGTATGAAATTAATACATTAAAGAAAAAAAGAAAATCAACTAAATTATTTTTCAAACATTATATTTGCAGAAAGTACATACTTTGTGTTGCTCAAAATGAGCATTAAGTGAAAGATGATATACCTAATGGTGCACCTTCAAAAGCAGAAAACAACATCCGAAAAGTAAAAAAAAACTGTATTTACTGTATGCAACATATATATGCTGAATACTTAGGACCATGTGATATTTCAGTTTTTCTTTTTTAATAAATCTGCAAAAATGTCAACAATTCTGTGTTTTTCTGTCAATATGGGGTGCTGTGTGTACATTAATGAGGGAAAAAAATTAACTTAAATGATTTTAGCAAATGGCTGCAATATAACAAAGAGTGACAAATTTAAAGGGGTCTGAATACTTTCCGTACCCACTGTATATATACACTACCGTTCATAAGTTTGGGGTCAGTAAGACTTGTAAAGTTTTTTAAAGAAGTCTCTTCTGCTCATCAAGGCTGCATTTATTTGATCAAAAATAACGAAAAAAAACAGGAATCTTGCAAAATGTTAAATAATGGTTTATATTTTAATATCCTTTAAAATATAATTTATTCATGTGATGTAAAGCTGAATTTATAGCTCCAGTATAAAGTGTCACATGATCTTCAGAAATCACTCTAATATGCTGATTTATTATCAGAATTATCAATGTTGTGCTGCCAAATAATGTTTTGGAAACTGCAATATTTTTTTCAGGATTCTTTGATGAATAAAAAGTTAAAAAGAACAGCATTTATTCAAAATATAAATCTTTTCTAACAATATAAATCTTTGCTATCGCTTCTGATCAATCGAACACATCCTCGCAGAATAAAAGTTTTCATTTCTTTCCAAAAAAAAAAGAATAAAAATGAACCGACCCCAAACTTTTTGAACGGTAGTGTTGTTAGAAAATATTTCTATTTTAAATAAATGCTCTTCTTTTTAACTTTTTATGCATCAAAGAATCCTGAAAAAAAGTATCACAGGCTCCAAAACAATATGAAGCAGCACAAGTGTCCAGCTCTGATGATAAATCAGCATAAGCCCTATTCCCTCCGAATCCACATCTTTGCGTTTACAAAAAGAAATCATTACAAAATTCATTGTTTCGATCTTCTTGTCCACTGCAGAGCACCGTATGATAGGTGCTGAGCTTCGCCGTAATTTGCACACATTTTAAAGATATAGCCTACATTTATTACGGAAATGCTGGAAAGTGTTTAAGAACAATATTACAGCGGCCGGAAGATGTTGAGAACAAAGAGGAGAAAGAGAAATAAAGCACATTGCATTTAAAATGGACCGTAATTCTTCTAGCAACTGCATTTTAAAATGCGTAGCCTATTATATATTATCATCACATTAAAAATATAAACCAAGCAGCTTCATGCTTGCTTCATGTAAATAAAAGGCTGCGTTATTATTTCCCCATTTTAAGAATGGCATAATTTGAAAGAAAAAGCAAGACAAAAGCATTCATCTATAGATATAGCGCGTCTGTCTATTTTTAAACAGGAGATAATCAAAGATACATAGGATATTATTATTACATTAAATAAGATTATATTCTCATTATTCCAAGCAAGTGCCATTTTATTCATAACAATATTTCACAATATTTTTTTCCCCCTATATTTTTGATCAAATATATGCAGCCTTGATGAGCGATTAAAAATCATGACTAGACTAAAAACATGTATCATATTCAGATTGTTAAAGTGAAAACATTCTCATTTTAATAAATACAGATGTTAAACACAGCTCTGTTTATGTTCTCTTCTCAAACTTCAGAATTCAAATTTTAATTTATAATTCAAAAACCTATCAGAATTATGTTATAATGCTGTTTTAGAAGCAGTTAGGGTTTTCAATTATCAGAATAATTAGCCTATTAATACAATAATATTATATTGAACCCACAATCATTTTAAAAACTAAAGCATATTGTGCCCATATCTCCATTTATAGCTGACAGCGAGTAAGATTACACATATGTTGACACCTGAATTATAGAATAAAAAAATTAAATAAAATTGAAAATTCTATTGACTCGAGTGTTTCAATACGAGCCAGTGCCCGAGCTCGTGTTTACGACAACTAAATATTAAATAAAGCATTACGGTGCTACATTTAAACATACAATAGTGTTTACAATGTTACAACTCTTGAACGGTTTACATGCATTTAAACGCTTTAAATGCTTAAAACAAACCTTTCTTCAGTCCAAACGCAGACGCGTCTCGCGGCGCGGCCTTATGACGCCACGTCGCCATTCCAAATTAAAAGTCCTGCTCACGCGCTGAAATCTAAAGAAGTATTCGCTGAAGTGCACATCAGCCATTCTCGGGACATGGGACAAAACAGGGTGCAATATTGAAAAAATAAAACCTTGTACTAAGACAAATTAAACTACATTTGTGTATCTTACATGCATTAAGCTGCTTAGCTATGCTTTGATCAAAATGTGCTTTTTACCTTGCCATTACTTATTATGGTGATAAGACGGCAAAAACACAAATTAATTTTCACTCACATTATGCAAGACCCATAAGAAGTATAGTAAACATTAATTTTTACCTATGCCGGCAGTGGCCACTAAACAAAAAATATAAATACTTACAATATGTATATAGATATTTATTACTTGTTTCTTAAATTGGACTGTGTAATATAATTTTAACTTTATCTTTAACGGCAATCGAGATGTTTTTAACATTTCAAAACATATTCTCATGTGAGCAGACAGATTACATTTTCACATATCAGAAAAAATTCCTCAGCAAATATAAATTATCATAATGAAATATTATCAAAATACTCATCTGACGGAGGTGACGAAAACCTGACCTTGTAGTCATTTTAACTATCAAATACATTGAATTCATCAATTACTCTATTAAAACAAACAGTGAATGTGTTTGTTTATAAAGCTTTTATTAAAGAATCACATTTAGGTATGCTATATCATTGGAACACAAACGATCTTTTTTCTCTCGTCTCAGAACAGTATGTCTGCTGTGTATCTGCTATGGTTACAAGTTAAAGTTTAAAAAGAGTCGTTTGAACAAATAAAACAATTAGATGTTAGCTCTATCCATTTACATGTGTATCTCATCTCAGTTTCACCAGGATCTTAACATTAACATTTAAACATCTTAACATATGTTCAGAACCCATA